CTAAATTTGGAACGGCCCATAGATTTGATAACTTTTTTTTTATTTCGGTGGTTAGGCGACTTTATTTGTCTGCTTTTGTTGTTGTCCAGATATACGAAGCATCACTAGCCACTGTCCTTATTATTGCTTTGAAGATTTATAGTTTGGTTTTTATGGAGAGTAACCCAAATTTCAAATCGTTTAGATTATTGATTATAGATTATGATTATAGATAAGCTTTGCATATTATACCTTCAGTTTTTCCTCGTTACCTTGCGGTATTTCATTTCATCTTGCTTCAATTATTTTTAAGTCAACACATTAAGTCATTGGATCCATTCTCATAAATATGCTAGTACGATCACCATATTCTCCTGATTTAGCCCGCTACGACTATTTTCTGTTTTCAAACCTAAAGAAATTGTTGGGCGGTAAGATATTTGAGTCGGATGAAGAAGTTATTACCGAAACAAACGCGTATTTTGATAGCTTTATTTGGAGGGAATAAGAAAATTAGAAAAACGCTGGACTAAATGTATCAATCTAAAAAGTGATTATGTAGAAATATAAAATGTTTGTTTGCCGAAAAAAATTTGTTTTATTCAAAATGTCACTGACTTATCAAACCGCCTTCGTATATGCGCTTTTGCACTTCTTCGCCCTGGATTTCTTGTAGTTAATACTGTTTATATTTTCTCTTGCGGTTTTAATTTCAATCGGTTTTAATTTTAAACTGTTTTAATAATAAACTCTTGAATATTGACCATTATTATTCATATCTATTATTTTAAATTTCTTAAGCTTTTATATTTTAATATCATTTTCTATGCTCTTGTTTACTTTAACATTTTAATTGACGATTTAATTTATTATAAGCAATCAATAGTGGAATTGCCCAAAAGACCATTAGACACAACTGGATAAGAACATTTAAAACACAAAAACCAAAATTTGCGAGGCCAAACAACTGATTTCGCACCCCCAGAGCACCTCTCCGCGCCTGAAGGAGCAAACACTACTACCGATTCTTGACATTCCACACAGACACCGCATTAGCTTCAATTACAGAAACTTTGATTGATCAATACTATTTTCTGGCATTTTAGATATTTTTGTAATATTTTTTTATTTTTATTATATGAGAAATAAAGAAAAATGATTACTCGTACTAAGAAGCACAAATAATAAAACAGCAAAATTAAAGAAATACCTACATACTTTTTTATTATTTGCCAAAGACTGAAGTATGAAGAAAAAACTAACAAAAATAAATAGTAGGAATTCGCTGATGATGATCAATGATGAAAAATCGACGAAAAATGCTCACCACATGAGACCATAAATAAACGTTGGCACTGTTATGTATGGCTAGAGAAAAGTTCAAAAGATATCGACGCAAGTGAAATTTCAACAGAAACATCACTGCGATAAGTTATAGTTTACTATAAAAATCGCATGAGTTAAGCTACTCTAAACTATTAAAAAGTTCTTAAATAATCATAAAGCAAACAACATGTCATGTCGTAAAATTTAACGTACTGAAAAAAATTCGAAATATCCGAATTCAAACCAAAGGTGTGCACTGGCACTCATGGCCAGAACAATAGCTGACAGTGGCCAACTCTGAATTCTGAATATTGAATTCCGAACTCGTGGATCTGCAAGTGAATTCTCGCCATGCTGGCCTTAAAACACCCTAACACCCTATTATGACCACTTTTATATCATTTTTGCGTAATCACATGTTCACCTTTTATTTTTATTGCAACGCTGAAAATTACCAAATTTTTATTAAAAAATATTAAACAAACATTCTGAGACATATGAGTACACACATATGAGGCGTACATTTTCCGAGCTATTTGCGTACATTTCGGGCACTTGGAGTACTGTTAGAGAATGTGAAAATCTGTTGGACTCATCACAGTGCGGAATAATAAACAAAGCGCTGGGCTAATATGTTCTGATCGAAATGTTGTTGGAAAGGAGTTGAAGGTGTTTGGATGGGTAATTTTTTCTATTTGGCAGTTCGGATTGCTAGAAGAAATGCCGAGATTTTTTATATTTTAGTGACGACATTACTAAGCAGTGCCACACATCAGTACAGTTCCAAACTTTTGCACCTACACAATTTTTTGCTTTTTATTTCTTATATAAACAAAATTCAAATAAAAAAATTTGTAAACAATTTCATTTTGTTGTTTTTATATTTGGGAAATTTTGTGGTACTTGAAGAAAAAAATGTGTTAACATTGGCAGTTTATTTTCGAGAATATAAAAATTCATGAGGTGATAATGGCGCGACGAAAATTAAATTCTATTATGTCTTGAACAGTAGAAAAACCCCAGTACTCCTATGAAAAATTTGACTTAATTACAAGTTTTTTTCGAGTTTAACACATTTGAGTTTTTTCCATCCAAATAGATCTCTATTAATCATAACCTAATATCGAATAGCATTTTTTTTACTATAGACTAAAACTTTTCAAACGTAATTATTTTGTTTCATTTACTTACACATTTCATCTATATGGACCAAAAAATATCACTAAGCCTCTAATATCTCTTTTATTAAATGACTGATTCTCTGTTATTGAATAATTGCTAAATAGTCAGACAGGCAGACACGACTACACCGATTGATATGGTTGAGCTGACAAAGAGTATTTACACCTCAATTTGTTCCGGTGGATTCATCACTGTTTTAGAACTTTCCTAATAAACTTTGGGCACTTATTTTTAAGATAATATGACTAAAACAAACTTATACATATAATTTTTGAAATATGTACTTACAAACATGATTTATCAACTTTACCAAATACTTCACTAATGTCAAAGTAGTGATTCTCCTTATATGCATTTGTTATAAGAATTCATGTTAAAATTATTGTTTGAGAAGCTACACTTGCAAACTTTCTGTATCCTGTCTTCCAAAATCTTAGATATCATAAGTAATAAAAACATTGGTCTTTGTATTTCATTTATAAGTTTTACAACTAACTGTGATGTCAGAAGTAATAGATTAAATTAATATTAGTATCAACACTTCTATTCGGTGACCGCTTTTTTCCATTGTGTTACTCAAAAGTTTCCAGGAGAGGTTAGGTACTCTGACCGTTAACTGCTACTAATTTTCGCTCATTTAGTGTATTTTGAAGAGAAGAGCATGAATCCAAGACAGTATTTTAATATATGGTATTTGTATTTAACATTAAACATAAGAATACATCAAAGGATATTTAAACACGTTAAACTCGATCAGAAGTAAAGGTAATGTGGACAGTTTTTTTTTCTATTACAACGATGTTGGCAACTTACAGTTCTTGCCACAGGATGACACAGTTAACGGAGAATATTACCTGAAAGTTTTGCGGTGATTGGAGAAACAAATTCATCAAAAACACCATATTTGAAGAATAAAATTTTAAGATTTTTGGACCACGTCCATTACACAAGTTCATCATTGTGAACGAACTTCTTACTAAAAATTGAACCAACCTTATCGAACAGCCAGAGTACTCTTTTTATATGGCTCCTATCGAGTTTCTTCTTTTTACAAAACTCAAATTATCACTAAGACGCATCTGTTTTCAGCCAATAGATAGACATAAAAGAGTATTTGCTGCGAATACTGAAGTCTATTCCAGAAATGGATTTAAAAAATATTATGATGATTGGGTTATTTGTTGGCATAAGTATATTATTTTGAAAGATATCTACTTTGAATGCAATATTCAAATAATACATTACTGATTTTCAGTACTTTCTTAGCATACTAGATATTTGAACATCTTCGATCTCTCTAAATAATTACAAAAAATATTTTTTTTATAAATCATTTTAAAAAATATTTGTATAATAAACCAACAATTAAATTGAAATATTAATAGTTGACAGTTATTTAGTTTTTTATAATTATATTCCCTTCACGCAATGTAATCGAATTTCTTTTTCTTCACACCGCCCCAAAATTTAATAAACTTAGTCAAAAGACTAATAAAAATTTAGTAATTTAAATTTAAGAATTGGTTGCTCTGATAGAGGCTTCTTTTAGCCAGAACTGTCTGTTGAAAAGATTATAGGACAAATAATTTCAACTGATACAATTATAGCCAAATTATGCTTGTAGAAGTATTAGGTAGGTAGGTTGCAATGACGGCCTTATTCCCAAAATTCCCATTTGAGCTCAAATGATGGCCCATTGTGCTACCACAGGAATAGCACTGGCACGTAAATAGATTGAAGACCAGTATACGACCAACGTCGAAAAAGGTAACGATTTTCCCATTAGATAAAGGAAAACCAACCTGACAGTAGAAGTACATAATGGAGATTCATTTACTGTTGAAGATTTTTAAATACAAAACTGTGCGACAGTATTAATGATTTTAAATTTAGATGTATGGACCAAGCCCCAAGATATTTGTTTATAACAAAAAATGGAACCATGGA